GAACCAAGTGTACCAAATTAATCGCAAGGACACAGCTTTGAGCCTCCCTTGCGGCAGTCCCTGGAGGGAGTCCGCTCAGACAAAGCAAAGCGCGCTCCCCGGGGGGAGGGGTGGCCACTTTCTCTTTGTTCTCCCTTGGAAAATGGGCTGTCTCTCAAGTCTCGTAAACCAGCTGCTTTCACTTCTTGTAGGGGGTCAAAATAAATTAATCACCAATCGTGTTTGGACAGCATAGTTTTGAAGCCCTGAACTCTCTGAAATGCAGGGTCAAACTATTTTTAGATTAAGTTCGTATTCTGAGTTTCCCAGCAAAAATTTCAGAAATGTGCCCCACTTTGAAAGAATAAAATAAAATAAAAAGAACACCTCCAGAAAAAAAGGTGGTGGAGACAGAGTGTTTGAAATTGTACTTAACCCAAAAACGGCAAGTCATACACATTACACTTAGGAATCGCTTCTTCACAGGGGTATAATTTACTGAGCAGATATCTTTGCCTGCTAAGAAGCCCGTTCAGCAGTAAAAGGGAGAGCTCTCTGAGAAACCTCAACTTTGCACATTATAAGTGATATTTTTTTTCTCATAAGAAGGATTTAACATAGCTCCTTTTAAAAAACTCAGAATTGCCTATCCCTGATTTAAGTGGGGGATCAGGACAAAGGGTGCCTGACTTCTGCCTCAGGAATAGGCGTGCCACTCCCCAAGCACTCGGAGCATCTGCTGCCTGGGCTGATTCTTAAACCGAAATCCACACGTGGCTTGACAGCTGAAGTGGCCTTTTATGTCCAGTTGGAATTTCATGTTGGGCAGGCTGCAGTGAGTTCACGTCCAAACAGAAAATGGGTTCTGTGGGTCAGAGAAAGCTTACTGTGCTGAGAAGGACTAGGTGGACATTTTGTAAATACTATAGGTTCATTTCCTGGGAATTTATCCACAAAAATAAGGTTGTTTCATTCCCTTCACAGCTTCCTCAGGCCCTTTCAGAGAGTTTCTACTCTTTGGATTTAATCTGCCTTCTAAATATCCGCTCCTGTTGTGTCCAGAACAAGGGACTGTCTGCACGTTACTGTGGAAGCAAGCGTTGGGTAGCCCAGAGGGCAGCTCCTCCCAATCAGTTCTTGTCCTCTTTCTCTTAGGCTCTCAGGAGGAAGTGAGAGCCACCCCCAGCCAGGAAACCAGCCTAGCATTAGCGTTTAGGGACAGATGATCTAATGGCTCAGGTTCTATAGGTGACCTTCAGGCAAGCTTCTACAATAATTCTGAAGCTAGACACAGAACATATGAGCAGGTGTCCAAGAATTATAGATGCCTCTGAAAGTAACAGAAGGCCAGGCGCAGTGGTGCACGCCTGTAATCGTAGCCCTTCAGGAGGCTGAGATGGGAGGATCAATTGAGGCCAGGAGTTCAAGACCAGCCTAGTCAACATAGCAAGACTCCATCTATATGTCTATATCTATATCTATATCTATATCTATCTATCTATATTTAATGTAGCAGAAATTTAAAGAAAAATAGCCATGGCACGTATGTTCACAGTACTACACTGTGTTCTCTCCAGTGTTAAGGGGATTACATTTAAAATTTGTAAGCACTTTGAGGGCAAGAGCCCTGTTTCGCACTTCCTTTATATTTCTTACAGTGCCCAGCAAGGTATTACACATGCAGTGGTCACTCAGGGAATACTTACTTAAAAAAGAAATTAGTGCTGGCTCACACCTGTAATCCCAGCACTTTGGGAGGCTGAGGCAGAAGGATTGCTTGAGCTCAGGAGTTGGAGACCAGTTTGGGCAACACAAGATCCTACGTCTACAAAAAATTATTAAAAATTAGCTGGGAGTGGTGGTGCATGCCTGTAGTTAGTCCCAGCTCCTTGGGAGGGTGAGACAGGAGGATCACTTGCGCCCAGGAGTTTGAGGCTGCAGTGAGCTATAATTGCACCACTGCACTCCAGGCTGGGCAACAGAGTGAGACCCTGCCTATAAAAAATAACAATTAAAAAATAATTATGGACTAATGGAACAACAAACAGCTGTGCTCTGAGATTAAGCCTGTTTTTATTGTCACTTCTGAGGAAACTAGACAGTGATACTTTATAGCCAGAAAATGAAAGTGGGGATGGTGCAACTTTTCTAAATAATAATGACAGAAGCTGACCTTCCTCTATACTAGAAACTATACTAAGTTCTTTTCATACATTATCTCATTTACACCTGACCACACCCCATAGACTTAAGTATTACTATTAGGATTACCCTTATTTTCCAGTTGACAAAACATTACCCAAGTCACACCGGTAGTTAAGTATCCACATCAGGACTTGAGTCCAGCTCTCACTCAGTTTCCAATGCTTTCAGGCACAGTCCTGCACCAGAACATCTCAAGATGACTTCCATAGCTCCATTTATTAACCACCCTGCTTTGAGCCTTGCAACCTAATATCTGAAGTGAGAGGGATAGTCCTTCAGAGCAAATGAGCTCAAATAAAATTTAAAAAGCAATACATGATTTGAGAGGGAGAGGGAAAAGGGTCAGCACAGGCACAATTCATAATGGAACATGTTGCAATATGCCTGGGCTTGATGTCTTCTCCTGCACATTTTCTAGTTTAATCCCCATGGCACCCTGTGGAGTATGTTATTGTTATCTCATGTATAAGGAATAAATGTCTGGAGAACAGCTGGGTTCAAGAAAAAGGTAAACGCTCAAATATTCAGAGGCAGAGAGGGAACGAATCTACTGATAACACTGTACCTGCCCCAGGCCTCTCACTTAGGCTCACAGTGCTGGTGTGGGCATGTCTCACCTTTCCTTCTTCTCCTATGTTGTTAGTAACACTCCAGCCAGCCAGAAAGCTTGCACCTGTCTCTACCTGCCCCATAAGTACAAATAGGGTTAAATGTCGACTTGTATGCCATTAAACCATTTCAAAAGCACAGACGAGGTAGAGAGAAAGCAGTACAAGTCATGATTCGTGAAATGCTATGTAAGAGTTAAATAGAATGAATTAGATTTTAGCATACTGCCAGGTAAAGATTTCCACAAGGCATAGACTGTTCTAAAAAATAAAATAAATAAAATAAAATAAAATAAAATAAAAGGCCAGGCATGGTGGCTCACGCCTTTAATCCCAACACTTTGGGAGGCCAAGGCAGGCAGATCACGAGGTCAGGAGTTTGAGACCAGCCTGGCCAACATGGTGAAACCCTGTCTCTACTAAAAATACAAAAGTTAGCAGGGTATGGTGGCACGTGCCTATAGTCCCCGCTACTAGGGAGGCTGAGGCAGGAGAATCGCTTGAACCCAGGCGGCAGAGGTTGCAGTGAGCCTATACTGTGCCATTGCAGTCTAGGCGAGAGAGCAAGACTCCATCTCAAAAAATAAAATAAATAAAGAAATAAAAAAAGCAAGTTAAGAATAGAAAACACAACATGGCACAATTTATTCTAAAAAGTCACACAAAACAATGTAATGTGCACACACACACACACCTCTATGCAAACAGGTAGGAAATAGTTGGTTACACCCCAAATTGTTAACAGGTGTTTCTCTGGGGAGAAGACTGGGTTTGGGGTGAAGCGAGCAGTACTGGCAGACTTTTCCTTTGTCTTTTTACAAGATAATTTATTCATATAATGGGTATGTAAAGAAAAAAAGGACAGAAAAGAAACAAATGATGCTGTTAGAAAATATACTGGGTCCAGTGACTCACACCTGTAATCCCAGCAGTTTGGGAGCCTGAGGAGGGCGGATGACCTGAGGTCAGAGTTCAAGATCAGCCTGGCCAAGATGGTGAAACCCTGTCTCTACTAAAAATACAAAAATTAGCTGGGCATGGTGGTGCACAGCTGTAATCCCAGCTACTTGGGAGGCTGAGGCAGAGAATTGCTTGAACCCGTGAGGCAGAGGTTGCAGTGAGCTGAGATTATGCCACTGCACTCCAGTCTGGGCAACAGGGCAAGACTCTGTGTCAAAAAAAAAAAAAAAAGATAAAGGTTCGCAACATGCAGTAAAGTGGGGAAAGTGATACAAATACACCAAGCTGAAATCCACCGCCTCCTTCATGTCCAGGGAAGGCCAATAGATTAGAGGAGTGTCCTCATGTTGACATTATTAATACTTTAATGATTTTTTAAAATTTAATGTCTCCTGTGTCTACCAGAAATAGATTCCTGAGAAGTTCAATAGACTTGGAAGCAGACCACCTGGGTTCAAGGCCCGACTGCCTTTCTCTGTAACCTTGGACTAGTTTCTCAGGGCCTTAGTTTCCTCATCTGCAGAGTGGAGAGGATAGTAACACACTTCACAGGGTGCCCTGAGGATTAAATGAGATAATGCATAGGAAAGACCATCCAAACCTGGGGGACAGAGACTTGTAAACTGCAGATTGTGTTAGCGCCTACTCTCTTCCCATTCTCTGCATCCCACTTCACAGAATTGTTTTTCCTCACACCTTTAAGATGTCTGAGTATCCCACACTGAAGTAGAGTAAAATTAGTAAACCGTTAGTCTTTAGTATAATATTTGCTGATAATAGATAGGCCTCTGTAATTTGAGACTTCAGATTCTGCAGATGCATGGCTTTAAGCTTCAATAGCCTGTATTCATGCATTTATTTTAAGGGATATGCTCATTTGATTCCATTTATAAAATATGCCTCTTCCCTGTGCAACCCACTTTTGATTCAAAAACTAAAATATCCAAATCAGAGAGGCCATTTAAAGTATAAGATAAAAATATAATTAATGTGTATTGCATCTTAAAATATGCTTATCTGTGGTCCTAATAAAACTTCAGGCTGCTCTGAAATTTCAAGATTCCAATAATAAGCCTTATAATGAAAAGAATTGCAGAAATAATAAGATAAACACTAATGCCACCAATATAATTAAACATGAAACAAGAAATAGGAACAAATTCATAAATATCAGTTGCATGCACACAGTACCATGTCCAAGCCATGCATGATGAAACTATTTACATTACATTACTATTCCAGCCTTACCTTTGAATCACAGCCAGGTTCTCCTCTGCTTTGGCTGAATGTGCATGTGTTAAAAGGCGTAGGGAGCTGAAGAGTCCTGGTGAAGTAAATAAGAATCCAGTTAGAGATGTGCAGTTGGAGTTCAGAAAGGATCCATTTGAAGGATCTAATTCCAAGCACACAAAGCACTCATCCCTCCCGAGCTTCTCCACCCCATTGAACAGGCTGTCATTTTAGAGCTGGGCGCCCATTGTTCACTTTCTTCTACTCTAATTAGATTTGACAGATTGCTCTTTCTGGCTAGACTGGCTGTTGCCAAGAACAGAGAGAAGAGATGAGGCTGACCTTGTCATTGTGCCCTTGGGATCAGGTCCCTGCCCCCTCCTCCATCCTAGTCCACAGATCACTGAAATTGCTCCTTAGCAGCTTCACATCTATTCCTCTTCTCCTCCAGCCTAAGACTGGCAGTCTTAGCACCTCTGAGTTTTCTTACTCTCAATACTATGAGCTTCAAAGCCTAGGTAGGCTGTGGGAGTAGAATAAGTGGTGCTGTTGTATTTTTCATAACAATACTCTGACCCTGGTTTTTTTCTTTTTGAGACAGAGTCTTGCTCTGTTGCCCAGGCTGGAGCACCATGGCAAGATCTCGGCTCATTGCAACCTCCACATCCCGGGTTCAAGCGATTCTCCTGCCTGAGCCCCCTGAGTAGCTGGGATTACAGGCGTGTGCCACCACACCCAGCTAATTTTTTGTATTTTTAGTAGAGACGGGGTTTCACCATGTTGACAACTGGTCTCGAACTCCTGACCTCAGGTCATCCGCCTGCCTTGGCCTTCCAAAGTGCTAGGATTACAGGCATGAGCCACCGCACCCGGCCAGCCTTGGTTTTTTTCTGCAGGCCTATTGGGAAAAACAGACCAGCTTTTCCAAAGGGAAATGTAACTGCAGTTCCACCCAGGAGCCAGGAAATATTGATCACTTAATGAAGCAGAGCTCAGCAAGGATCCACGGATCTGAAGCAAACCCCGTGCCCCGCTGCCCTGTTTCCTGTCTGTGAAATGTCGCCAAGAACTCCTGAACCTTCACCATCTCAAACACACATTATATTGGTATTAGGTAAGAACCAGACAATGAAATGATAGAATGGGAAGTGATCTTAGAGATCATCTAGTCTGATTACTTTTCTTGGAAGATTAAAAAACACAGATGAAAAGTGAGAAGTCACATGACAGTGTCATGAAATTAGCTAATAGATGTTTAACACCTAGCACTATGCAAACGGCTTCTGATCAGTTTTGTCACAAACCTGCCTTTCTCTAATTTATCCTATGCTTGATAATTAACTATATTGGCCAGGAAAGGACTCTCTTTCTCTGAGGAAAGAATTTTCCTCATCCAAGGACTGTATTTTTATTTTTATTTTTCTTATTTTTTTGAGGTAGAGTCTCACTCTGTTGCCCAGGCTGGAGTGCAGTGGCTCCATCTCAGCTCACTGCAACCTCCACCTCCTAGGTTCAAGCGATTCTCCCGCCTCAACCTCCTGGGTAGCTGGGACTTCAGGTGCCCACCACCATACCTGGCTAATTTTTGTATTTTTAGTAGAGACAGGGTTTCATCATGTTGACCAGGCTGGTCTTGAACTCCTAACCTAAGGTGATCTGCTCACCTCAGCCTCCCAAAGTGGGGATTACAGGTGTGAGCCCCCATGCCCAGCCAAAGGACCATATGTTTAGAAATGCTTCCCTGAATTTACTGAGTTTACTGAGAACTCAGTGGCCTTGTACTAGAAACTGAGTCACCAAATGCCACACAACTGTCATAGAAGCACAGGATGGACCTCAACAGGCTGGACGCCTGGGCCCTGCTCTTACACAGGAGTGGCCCTGTCCTTGACCCAGTCCTGGCCACGCCCATGGCCTCAAGAGCTGTGAGCAGGAGCAACCGGTAGGAAGTTCTCCGTGGAACAAATTTAGTGTTTACCGGGTTGTAATATAAACCCATTCATGTACAGTTCGTTCAACTGCTCAAAAGCATTTATTAAAAGCTCATTATTTGCTAAACCCCTGTGGGCTGATAAGCCTACTCTGACGAGTAAGACACAGCCTCAAGGAGCCAGCAGTGTCAACACTTAACATGCAGGGGAGCACTGTGGGGCCACAGTGGGAGGAGGAAATACTGTTTTCCTTAGTTGAGATTCAAGGAATCAGAAAAATGTCAAAGGAAGTGATTCTTGGCTGGGCACAGTGGCTCACGCTTGTAATCCCAGCACTTTGGGAGGCCAAGGTGGGTGGATCACAAGGTTAGGAGTTTGAGACTAGCCTGGGTGAAACCCTGTCTCTAGTAAAAATACAAAATATTAGCCAGGTGTGGTGGTGGGCGCCTGTAATCCCAGCTACTCGGGAGGCTGAAGCAGGAGAATCGCTTGAACCAGGAAGGCGGAGCTTGCAGTGAGACAAGATCACGCTATTGCACTCCAGCCTGGGCGACAGTACAAGATGGTGTCTAAAAAAAAAAGGAAGTAAGTAAGTGATTCCTGAGTTGAGCTTTGAGAAATAAGGGATATTTTCCAGGGATGGGAGGAGGGATGCAAGTACATGGCATTGAGATAGATAGTGAGCCTGGTGTTTGCTGGAAAAAAAGGAAGTTTGGGGCTTGCATAGCACCAAAGATGAGATTGGGAATTTAGGTAGAGATCAATGGAAAAACTGTGTGACAAGGGGAGAAAGCTGGATTTTCTCTTGGTAGCTCATGGGAACCACCAAAAAGTTCCAAGCAGGGAAGTAAAATGATCCAAACTGCATTTTAGAAAGATGGCCTGTAAGCTGAGCGCGGTGGCTCACGCCTGTAATCCAGCACTTTGGGAGGCTGAGGTGGGATGATTCCTTCCACCCAGGAGTTCAAGACTAGCCTGGACAATGGAGCAAGACCCCATCTCAATTAAAAAAAAAAAAAAAGAAAGAGAGAGAGAAAGAAAAGAAAGAAACAAGGAAGGAAGAAAAGGGTCGGGCACGATGGATCAGCTCTGTAATCCCAGCAATTTGGGAGGCCGAGGCAGGCGGATCATGAGGTCAGGAGATCGAGACCATCCTGGCTAACACGGTGAAACCCCATCTCTACTAAAAATACAAAAAAAATTAGCCGGGCGTGGTGGTGGGCACCTGTGATCCCAGCTACTTGGGAGGCTGAGGCAGGAGAATGGCGTGAACCCGGGACGTGGAGCTTGCAGTGAGCCGAGATCGCGCCACTGCACTCCAGCCTGGGAGACAGAGTGAGACTGTGTCTCAAAAAAAAAAAAAAAAAAAGAAAAAGAAAAAAAGAAAGGAAAGGAAAGGGAAAAGAAAAGAAAAAGAAGGCTCTGGCTAGGCACGGGGCTCATGCCTGTGATCCCAGTGCTTTGGGAAGCTGAGGCAGGAAGATTACTTGAGCCCAGGAGTTTGAGATCAGCCTGGGCAATACAGTAAGACTCCATCTCTACAAAAATTGTTTTTTAATTAGGTGGGCATGGTGCACCTGCAGTCCCAGCTACTCAGAGGCTAAGGTGGGAAGATTACTTGAGCCCAGGAGGTTGAGGCTACGGTGAACCATGAGTGTACCACTGCACTCCAGCCTTGGCAACAGAGCGAGATCCCTCCTTTGAAAGAAAGAAAGAGAGAAAGAGAGAGAGAGAGAGAGGAAGGAAGGAAGGAAGGAAGGAAGGAAGGAAGGAAGGAAGGAAGGAAGGAAGGAAGGAGGGAGGGAGGGAGGGAGGGAGGGAGGGAGGGAGGGAAGGAGGCTCTGATGGCAGCATGGAAGATAGTTTGGAGGACAGGTGGGAAGGATTCAGCTTGGGGCCATGTATTCTAGGAAATCTTTCCTAAGCTCTCGGGCAGAGCTGTCGGTGCCTTGTCTGGACCTCTGCAGCACCCATCCTCTGACACTTAGCCTATTTGATTTGTTTATATGTCTGCCTCCCTCATTAAAGTACAAATTTCCCAAAGACCAAGGCTTATTTCTTTTACATATTTATGTAAAATGCATCTACCATAGCATATGGCCCTAGATATGCTTTTATTTATTTATCTTCTATTTTTTGAGACCAGGTCTCACTCTGTTGCCCAGGCTGGAGTGCAGTGGTGCAATCACAGCTCACTGCAGCCTCGACCTCCCAAGCTCAGGAGATCCTCCCACCTCAGCTTCCTGAGTAGTTGGGACTACAGGCACCTGTCACCACACCCAGATTTTTAAAAATTTTTTGTAGTGACAGGGTCTTGCTGTGTTACCCAGGCTGGTCTTCCTTTCTTTTCTTCTTTAACTGCATTTTTATATGCTATGTTATATGGTTTCTTATGTAATATCCTCACTCTAGTCCTACTGAATTGCAGTGGACGTTGTTTCTTGTCACCCCAGTTTCTCTCCCTGTACTCTGACAATAGGCCTAATTTTTTTCTGGGAATTCTCTGTTTTTGGTCTTTGCGATCTGATTAGGGCTTCCCCAACCTCTAGCCCCAGGGTGAAGGACAAGCCTTAGGCCTAAATCAGCCAGTCTATCCTAACTAATTGGTTTGAGGTAAGCATGTGCTGTAAGCCTTCCTAATCAGATTAAATCTAGAGACTTTCTCCAGAGTTACTGGAGGAGTAGTCTCTCTCTCTCTCTCTCTCTCTCTCTCTCTCTGTCTTCCTCCTGTACATGGAGTTAATTAATTAATTGGTGACAGGGCTGCTGCAGCCATTTTGACACCAAAGGGATAAGCCTGTTTGAGAATGAAGCCAATACACGGAGGAAAACCCAGAAAAGTGGAGAGAGACAGAGTCCCGGGGGTGGGAGCAGAGCTCCTCTCTCATCAGCAACTCTCCCTGCTAGTTCGGACACTGTATATTTGGTAATGGTGAGTGTTAATTCATTTACACCTGTGAGGTTTCTTTCTTTGTTTTTTCCTTTGTTTTTCTTTTTGTTTTTTGTTTTGGAGACAGGGTCTCACTCTGTTGCCCAGGCTGGAGTGGGGTGGCATAATCACAGCTCATTGCAAGCCTCCACCTGCTGGGTTTAAGTCATCCTCCTGCCTCAGCCTCCTGAGTGACTGGGGCTATAGACATGCACCATCTTGCCTGGTTATTTATTTTTCTATTTTTTGTAGAGACAAGGTCTTACTCTTTTGTACAGGCTGATCTCAAACTCTTGAGCTCAACCGATCCTCTTGCCTTGACCTCCCAAAGTGCTAGAATTACAAGCATGAGCCATGAGGCCGGCTTATGTTTTGGGTGGAGGCTAAGCTTCGCTCCCTGTCCCCTTTTTTGAGAAGATGTGTGGCAGCTAAAAACAGATAACAAGGTATAGGAACAACG